CATTGGGCTTAATGATTCTTTTTCATCTCTGAGAAGCCATTTCCTATTGACATCTCCTCTCCCTTCTTTATCCAAAGTATACTCCTTGTTACTCCAAGAGGAGAGTCAACGCAATCTTCATATCCCAAACAAAACAGTTGATCACCTTGCTATGCTAGCCAAAACATCTCAGTCCCATAACAAATTTCAAATCCCTACTTCTCAGTCTAAACCACAAACCTTCACCAAAGAGAAAAAGAAACTTAAATGCCAACATTGTGGCTTCAGTAACCACTCTTCTGAAAGATGCTATCAGGTCATTGGTTATCCTTCTAACTGGGTAGGTCCTAAGGGTCCTCGAGTTCATCCTTCTCATGTTGCAGCCAATGCTGTTTCCTCTACACTTCCAACCCAAACACCATCCACTGACAACCAAAATCCCAACATGACTGATGCTCTTTTTCATGAGTTCCTTGATTTTAAAAGATCTCAGGCTCTTAAACAAACCACAGTCCCACAATCCATCTCCTCATCTCTTGTGGTTGCCACTGTTTTTACTCCATCCTCCTCTGCAGGTAAATTACATTTTTCATGTTCTGCACAATCTTGCTTTAATAATCATACATGGATTCTTGATACTGGTGCTACTGATCACATGGTCTGTGATTTATCTTTATTTACTTCTGCACCTAAATCTGTTTCTATTCAAGTTAATTTACCCAATGGACAACATACTTCTGCATGCCATGTGGGACAGATTAATCTGGGACCTAATCTTGTGCTGCAGGATGTATTGTTTGTTCCTACCTTTAATTTCAATCTCATTTCTGTCTCTAAACTTACTTCTACAAATGACTGTGTTGTCAATTTCATGTCATCTTATTGCATATTACAGGACATCAAAACCAACAGAATGATTGGTTTTGCTGAAGCAAAGAATGGTCTATATCATCTGTCTTTACATTCTTATAACCCTGTTGCACATATTTCTGGAAACCATGTATCACATATACCTGACAAACATGTTATACCTACATCTGCAAACCATGTATCCCATGTTACACATACTCATGTTAATTCTGTGGCTCATGATACTTCTGAACTTTGGCATGCAAGACTTGGACATTTATCATACAATAAGCTTGCTACTCTGCCTATATCTGTTAATTGCAAGTCTCATCTGCATAGTCCCTGTGACATCTGTCATTTCAGCAGACAAAAGAAATTATCTTTTAATCTCAGCACATCTATTGCATCTGCTGCTTTTGAACTTATTCATTGTGACCTCTGGGGTCCTTTCTCTGTTCCATCTATTTCTGGTCACAAATATTTTCTTACAATTGTAGATGATTACAGCAGAACCACTTGGATTTATCCATTGCTTTTAAAATCAGATACTCATTATTATCTGCAACATTTCTATAACTTGATTCTTACTCAATTCAACAAGAAAATCATGACCATTAGAACAGACAATGGCACTGAATTTTTATTGCACAATTTCTATCATTCTCATGGCATCATACATCAAACATCATGTGTTGAAACACCTCAGCAAAATGGCAGAGTTGAAAGGAAACATCAACATTTATTACAAGTAGCTAGGGCTATCATGTTTCATGCTCATTTACCTTTACATTTCTGGATAGATTGCATTACTGCTGCTGCACACATCATAAACAGAGTCCCATCACATGTTCTTCACAATAAATCCCCTTTTGAACTTCTTTTCCAAAAGAAACCTACCTATGATCATTTCAAAGTTATAGGATCTTTATGTTATGCATCTACTTTACAACAAGGTAGGACAAAATTTGACCCAAGAGCATCCAAATGCATAATGCTTGGTTATCCCCTAGGTTGTAAAGGTTATAGGCTTTACAACTTGGATACCAAGAAAATTATAATCTCCAGAAATGTCATATTTTATGAAAATGTCCTCCCCTTTCACAATCATTCTCTTACTGCTCCTAATGATTCTCCAGATCCTTCCTTAATGTTTCCTACCCAACCTGAATTTCCTCATGATCTTATACAAACAAACACAACACAACCTTTACCAACACCCTCAGCTCCAACATCACATAACAACTCAACACCATCATCTCCCTCCACCTCTCCCAACACTTCTTCATCACCATCTACTTCACATAACCCTTCACCCCAACAAACAATACCTGATGTTTCCAATACCAGAAGATCCTCCAGAAAAAGAACCATACCATCTTACCTCAATGCTTATAAACACTCTCTTCCCTCAGCCACCAATCTTGTTTTGACTGAGGAC